GTTCCCAAGTGACTTTGAAGTCACTACCAGTAGATATACATATGGATTGCATTCGTAAACTTGTTTGAAGTTGTTTTTGTGACTGCAAATAGTCAAATAGTCATCAAATAGTAATGTTGTGACTCAAGAACATTTTATGATGGTATGTACAATTTTATAGTGGTGTAAATATATATGCGTCAGGGTATATTTGCGACTTTAGAGTAGGGTCAAATATCAATATAATCCCAAAAGGCCTTTAATGCTGAAAGAACTGAAGATCTTGATCTCAACGAAGTAATTGATATTGGTTATGATTCACGCGAAGTTGACAATTTGACCAATGAGGAAGATATTGATGAGGAAACTATCGGTGGAATATTTAATAATTATCGGAACATTTGAAATACTATGTATGTATGTATGCGTACAGGAGTGCGTAATTTTTACGCGCACTTAGACCCCAGTGGGCCCCTTAATTTGAAATACTATTACCAGGAAAAAAAAGGTGGTTGCCATTTATAAATATGTTAGACTCCGCCATAGTAAATGCTTCAAAAATGCACAGACTAACAATATAATGTCAAACCAATTTCTCAGTTGGATTTTAGATGGGAACTTGTAGGAAGCCTTATTAGTGTCAACACCAGTTAAGATACACCAGAGGACATGGTTCCACAATTTTTGTAACTTCAACCTCCAGATTAGATAGTGTTATACATAATTCAAAAAACAATGAAAAGTGGAGACGGCGCTGCAGGGTATATCAAAGCACGATAGTATCATTTTATCGACCGCTAGCCTATTAATCGGCTTTTCGACTGCCAACGCTTATGGACCAATAGCCTGTTAATCGGCTTTTAGTTATCGACGGGTTTCGTCTGACTATATGTCTGAAAGAAACATACGTTTATAAAAGCGTAGCGATCGTCCAGTGGGATTTACTGTTCTGTTAGTAGTTAGCTGTCCTCTCTATATTCTTACGAATTATAATATTTTTACTTTTTACCGTTTACAATGGATAAAGATCGTCTAGATGAAGAGTTTTGCTTAGATACTTTGTCAGACTTTAGTTGTTAATCAGAAAGTGATAGTGATGGTGATAGCAGTGATTCTTCTATAAACGGATGATAAAGTTATTTTTTTAACTATGCATTTACTGTCGACTATTAATTCTCATGCACCAATTAAATATTGTAAGTTCACAAAACCTCGTGCACCCTGGCTTACGGATACCATCAAGCTGATGCAAAAATGTAGAGATGATGCTTTTAAAAAATATAAAATGTCTAAGTCACTTGCAGCATGGAATTACTACAAAGATTTAAGAAATATGACAAATACTGTTATAGATAGGGAAAAGAGGGCGTTTATGGATCAATATGTACGTAAGGTTTGTACGGTATTTGGCGCATAAGTTTTTCTTGCCATATTGCGATTATGCTCGGAGATGTGCGCTCTTTGGCCTGAGGTCCTTGCGGGGTCGTCGTAACCTCTCGGATTCAATATTTCTGTTTAAGTTAGTAAATGGGTTGATAGACTGCCCTAACCTTGTCTCCGAAGTATATTACATTACCCCTTTATATACTGTGCGCGCTCATAGCCTGTTCAGATTGCCCGCATCCGCCTCGATCGCTCACATGAATTCACCTTTGCCTCGTATTATGCAGTTTTATAATCGGCACTGCTACTTGTGTGACTTGTTCGGCATGTCGTTGGAGTCGTTTAAACGTGCCCTCGCCTCTTTAGACGTAGTACGTTTTGTACTGATTGTCACTTTGAAGAAATATTGTTGTACAATTGTTTTTCTAGTGGATACTTCACTGGGATTTTTCCTGTTTGTATCCCATAAGCAGAATAAATAAATAAATAAATAAATATATACACCGTGCACACAATAACGCATGGTGTGGTCTGAAATCACTTGGGTTGAATAACATTAAGCGCAGCATAATTCCTGGATGTCTCCGTCATCCTGACAAAATAAACCATTTTTTTGTAAACTCCATAACGCAAAATACATCAGTGGATAATGAGCTTTTTGAGTTTTATACCAATAATAAGTTGATTAATGCAACTTTTTCTTTTACTCCAGTTAATGATATTGATATTATGAAAAGCATATCTTCAATAAAAAGTAATTCTACGGATATAGATGGATTAAATATTGGTTTAATTAAGTTATCATGTCGTCATATTCTTTTATATTTGACTCATATTGTAAATTTCCGTATAAGTGAGAGTGTCTTTCCAGATTCGTGGAAGATTGCTCTGGTTAGACCATTACCAAAAATTAAGAACCCTATTGATTTTATGCATTTAAGACCCATAAGCATCCTTCCTGTACTATCGAAGGTAACTGAAAAAGTTCTAACTTTTCAACTGCGTGATTTTATAGACAAAAACAATATCTTGCCAGAAATGCAGTCTGGATTTAGACCTGGCTTCAGCTGTACCACCGCATTGATTTCCATTATAGATGATGAGGTATCTGAAATGGACAAGGGAAATGCCACAGTTTTGTGTCATGTAGACTTTTCCAAAGCATTTGACACAATCAACCATGACCTACTGTGTTCTATTCTGCAATTTGTTGGACTGGATGACGGGGCCGTTGAATTGCTACGGGGTTATTTAAAAAATCGTCGATTGTTGGTGACAGTATCTCGGGTGCGTTGAGTTTATCGTCGGGTGTACCACAAGGATCCATTCTTGGACCTCTTTTGTGTACTGTGTATACATGTCATTTTAAAACCTTCATAAAATATTGTAGATCGCATTTTTACGCTGATGACACTCAACTGTACTGCTCCTTTCCGCCGTCTGATGTGACAGCTGCTTGTGAACGTATTAACTCTGATCTTCAGAGTATAGCTGATATTTCTGAACGTCACAATCTATACATTAACCCATCAAAGACCGAATTAATCCTTTTTGCGCCTAAAAGATCGAGACAGATTCTCTTATCCAAACTTAATATTTTTGTAAACAACACAAGTGTTACATGTAGTAATACTGTAAAAAGTCTGGGACTATTAATTGATGACGCACTGAAATTCAATGATCACGTTAATAAATGTACCCAATTAGCGTACTGTAACTTAAAACTCATTTACAACTGTCGAAATTTTTTAAATAGATCGCATTTTAATTATTGCGATGTGGTATATTCTACTTTCATTTCATATCTCGCAAAGAGGAAGATACAAAAGGTACAAAATTCCTGTTTACGACTAATTTATGGTATTAAACGTCGGCAGCATGTTAGTGATCGATTGGTCGATGTAAACTGGTTGAATATGCAGAACCGAAGAATTTTGCATTCAGCCTGTTTGTATTATAAAGTGATAAATTACCAACAGCCCCCTTACCTTTATAACAGGATTCGATTTCGAGCCGATGTCCATACATTGAATATAAGATTTAGAGGTACACTGCAAAAATGCTTTAGTTACCAGATTACTAAAATATTCAATAATATTCCATTGGACATCAGAAAATCATTGTCTCAGAACTCATTTAAACGGAAATACTTTGCATTGTTATTTGATGCAGGTTGAGAGCTCTCTGTGCTTCTTCTTGCCTGTTTTTATCTACGTTGTTGTCATTCTTACGGATTATTATTTATTTACTATTTTTGATGTGCACGCTTCAGTTAATTCTAGTTTGTATAGTCGTTTATTAATTTGCTTTTGTTTTGATTTACTTTTGTTTTCCATAATAAATTTTTTTTCTCTCATGGTTAAGTTGAAAAACGGTTTCGCTTTCGTATTTTTGTTTAACTTTTGTTTAATTTTTTTGCACTTTTCTTTTTTATTTTGTATAGTGAAAAAAAAAATAAAGTCATTTATTATTATTATTAAACATTCGGAAGTCGCGCAAATTATTGCCACTGCAATCTAGCGATTCAGAAAGTGATAATGATGACACTGCTGAAGTAAACATCGATACGTGGTCAACAAATGGACAAATCAATTATTTTGGAACCTTTCGGAGGTAGCCCAGGTATAAAAATTCTACCAAAATACGAAGAAAGTGTAATGAACATTGTAAAGTTATTTATTGGAGATGACTTTTTGGAATATTTGGTTAAAGAATCGAATAGATATCACTATCAAATAGTCAATAAATATAAAAATATCTCAAGAACGAAGAAATGGATGGTATTAAGTTGCCAGAAATGAAAAATTTTTTAGGTCTAATTGTTTTAATGGGACAAGTAAAAAAAGACAGACTTCACGATTACTGGTCAACTGACTCAAGCATCGAAACTCCGTTTTTTTCTAAAGTAATGAGAAGAGCTGGCACTTTTGTAACAATGAAGATATACCCACAAATTCAAACAGACTTGTAAAAGTTCAGCAGTTATAAATTATTTAAAGAATAGATTTATTGATGTGTATAAACCTTGTCAACAATTATCATTAGATGAATGTATTATTCAAAAAATTACATTCCTTTGAAACAAAAACACAATGAATAGCGAAAATTTAGCCGGTACTAGGAGCAGCCTTATAATTTAGCCTTACTGAGTAGCAGCCACAACAATGACCGGTCAATAAAGTGGTATTTATGTGCATCAAATGTAAATTTCCATTTACTATGGAGTTGGTCCCAATGTTGCGTTAACGCAACGTTCAAAAAATCTACCAAAATGTGTTATGTTGTATTTTATATTTTAAAGTTTGTTTCTAAAGACGTAAATAAAGGTTTATTGACAAAAAAATTAGAATTTTTTCAATTATTTCTCACTAGTCCTTAATGGGTTAATAAAAAAATTTTTTTTTTTAAAACGTACTTATTTTTGCGCGTCTAAATATATCTCCCGCCTTAAATAGGAAAGTTATCACAATGTTTTATAAAAAAAAGAACTCAATTTAGCTCTAATCAGCAATAACAGGTCTACAAATGAGTACTTGGTGTATCAGGATTATTATTTGCAATGATAAGATAAAAAATATGGCCATGAACAGGCTTTTTATTTCTTTTTAAATGCATTTGAATATTTTTGCGATATTTACCTGTACTTTCTGTAATTTTTTCAATATGTTGCTTTTTTAAGAAAGCATTAGCAGAGGTGGTAACTTTAATATTTTCCATTTTCAAGTCATTTGCGTTAATAATTTTGAATTTTTTCACATTTTTTACATTAACAGGTAATAATAACGGCCTAAAAACACAAAAAAACGAAAATTTTTGTTATTAATAATTAAAAAAAAATTTCTTACGGTCTATTTCCATTAAGAGATTGAACTCGAATCAATTGTTGCTTTGGTTTTTGTATTCCTTTATTATTAATGGCAGTGTTTATAGGTTTGGTGAACAAAACCCTTTTCGTGTTAGGTTGCAGAACAAATTTAGCTGGTTGTGTGTTATAAACGATTTTTTCAGGTTCTGGTTTATTAAATTCTTGGATATCATGACTTTCCAATGAGAAAACTTGATTAATATTCATAATTTCATCTTGCTTTATACTTCCACTTGAATCTGATCCCAAAGTTACGCTATCTCCACTTTCTGAGGATCGAGGAGATGATTGTGCATCAAAATCCGAACATATATTATTAACAAAGTTACTGTCAATTCCAATATTTTCCAAATTTTGTTGTTCCATCCAAAAAACCGAATCAAAAAATTCCGAGCTCTAAATTTATTAAAAATAAAAAATTAATATATATAGTGATGTTTAATTTTAAAAACTAATTAATACCATTAATTCTTTATCCTCAGTTATGGGTAAATCTAAATTTTCCATATCTTCTTGGAAACTGGTTAATGAACTGTAATCCTCCGTTTCAACGGAGGACGATTTGCACAAGTAATCAAGTAGATGCGACATATTTGGATAATCCAAGCACGTAAAGTTCACAATAACATAACGAACGAACAATTAACTAAACAAATTAACGATTATAAACGTTCGCGCGTTTAATTTGATTGCGAAACGTGCGTTTTACTGACAATATGTTAGTATATTTCGGATCTTCACGCTTTGACAGACGCAAAGAGTGTAATGACGTCATCAAAGGAGTATGTCAGACCTGGAGATTTAGGTGTATTTTTAAATTTCTATTGGCTACCCTGCTCAAATCTTAATTTATATTTTCAAAAAATAGTTTTATTTATTTATAAACCAATAATTTTTTAATTACAAACGAAATCGTTAACTCATTTAAACCAACGAATTTAATAATTTATTTTTATTAACTCTAAAAATCCAATTTACATTCATTCTTGGATTTAATTCGATGTTTCTCTAATAGATGGCGCTAAATTCGGGATCATATGGTCCAAAAAGCAAATATAATCTAAAAATATCCCGACAAAATAAGATATACTTGTTTAATTAATGCATTGTTGTACAAGACTAATTCATTTTTGATTGATTTATACATTTATTTTTGCTATTTTTTGTTGCAAACCAAAATTTTTTGTTGAGGTTATGTTCAAATTTTATTTGAAATGGAATAATTAATTTTGAACGTGACATCTTACGGTAAAATAATTAACACTTTAAAACAATTTTTGCATATCATAAAACTCGTACTAAATTAATGAATGGAAAACGATTAGATACTGAGAATAAATATCATTGTGTTTCATGAGTGTGAGTAATCGCACTTTAATGCTACTTGGAATTAAGTGATTAATAGTTTTTTGTTATGTCAAATTTATATTATTTTATTATATCATATATTTTTCTTACATTAATGCCAGGTACACACTTCCTTCCTCAAAAGTCTGCCCCCACGCAGATGCCGACCCAACCCGTCCATCAGATAGGATTCGCAGCATAGCAGAGTAAGGTGGGCTATTTCTAATTTCAAGCCCCTAAAATCGCCTGGAGGAGATGGAATTCTGAATTTCTGCAAAAAGGCTTAGAAGACCTTCTCCCAGTAATAATATCCCTATATGTAGCTAGCTACAGCTTTAGCTATATACCCACTCTATGGAGGAAAGTAAATTTGGTCTTCATGCCTAAAGGTGGTAGGCATGAACAAAAAATACAGATTCACATTTTGTTGAAATTAAGCAGAATTGACTGTATATAGAGCGTTTCACTTAAAACTATCATGTCAAGTATCCTGGAATGGGTTGAGGAGATATTGTAGTTTTGTAAGAAGTTGTTGCTAGAGTTCATGCGCTGCAGTCAGAAGAAACTTTCAGAGTGATAGAACATCGAAAACTGTGCAACTTTCTTTATCAACGTTGATTTGAAAAACTCAGTAGTTTCGAAGATATTGAGGTCAAGGATATGGCAATGGGGCAAACATGCGTTCAAGAGCCTTTTTTATTCCATGTTCTAACCACTTACTTAACTGTGTAGTGAATGATGCGGCAAAAATATTATTAATTTTTTTGATGTTATTCAAGTTGGATTTTTTTTTTCAAGTTCCAAGTTCCACTAAACGATGGGCAATATTAAAGTCGGATGTCAAAATTTTATTTTGAAGCCGTTGTCAATGACCAACTTGATGGGAAAATTTTGTCAACAAAATGAGGCAAGATCCGTCATATAACATGAAAACCGTTATGGAATCGATCGAACAAATTACAGTATATCTAAAGGACTACCGAATAGATGACAAATTTGAATCAATTGTGAATTCTGCAAAGGACATATCTGAAAGTTTAGATGTGGAACCTACATTTCCAAATGTTAGCAGAGGAAAAAAAGCAATTTGAACATGAGTCAGATGATGAACCATTCCTTACTAACAAGGACAATTTTAAAGCTGGAGGCAGCGTTTTTCAGTTGGCACAAAGGCGGCTCATGAACACGCGGCGGCACTGTACAGACCAATTAGCCTAACTTCATTTCCCCTCAAAGGGATGGAAAAGGTAATCGATCAATACCTAAGGAATGGAGTGCTTGTCACAAATCCACTCCACCCTAGCCAACATGCTTACCAGAAAGCAAAATCAACAATCACCGCTCTCCATGCTTTGACTAGCACTTTAGAGGAGGCACTTGCAACCAAAGAGATAGCCCTACGTGCTTTCATAGACATAGAGGGTGCGTTTGATAACACTTCATATGAATCCATAGAGAAGGCTCTAAACGTAAAAGATATACATCCATCGACAATCAAGTGGTGTATAGCCATAACTCTCTAACCACAGTATTGGTAACACATGTATATCTATATGTATATCTGGTTAATTAATTAATTAAGAGTTTATTGTATACAATAATCTGTCTACAATTCTACAATTCTTTACATTATTAATATATTATTTTCACCCTCTACCCTCTTACTCCATTTCTACACCCTCGGCTCCTCGGCCCAATCATCCCCTCCTCCATCCCGTTGTCTCCTCACCCCCACAACCATTCTCATCCATCGTTTCCCCTCTCCCCCCTCTCCTAAGATCTGCCCTCGGTCCAACTCCTCCTCCCTCAACTCACTGCACCCATTCAACATATGTTCCAACGTTTCCCATTCCTCCCTGCATAGCCTACACTACCTCTCCTCATCGGCCATCCAGTATCTGTTAGCTCTCTCCTTGTTTCCACAACAGAACCTAGCCACCAACTTCTTCCCTTCCTCATCTCCTTCCAATAACAAGTATCAAGGCAGCCCCTCCGTAATTATATCCCTGTACCTCTCAACTCCCTCCACATCTCCCTACCCACCCTTCGTCTACTATTTATCTCAGTTACCGAGTAGCCCGCTCGTCTATAATAGTTGTCTCTGTCTCCTTTCCCATATCTGATCTTTCCCTCTCTAATTTTCCTCCAACACTCCCCCAAGATCCCGCAGTTTGGCCTCCCTTCTATTCTTTCTTCATATTTCACTGCCCTCCTGCCCGCCTCCACTCTGACCTTATCCACCTTTACCTCTTCCCTCACTATATACCCCGGTGTTTCTCTCGCCACCCCAAGCACCCATCTCCAATATCTAGCTTGTAAATCCTCCAGCATTGCCTGCTCTCTCCATCCCCATACCTCTGCCCCATACATCACCACACTGCTAACTAGACCTTCAAACATAATCTTCCTCGCTGCCACATTTCTTCCAAAGACTCTCTTCCCCCAACCCCATACTTGTCCCATCACCTTATTCGCCTTTTTTGCCATAGCTATCACATGCGACCCTTCCCTGTTGTCCTCCCTAAACACACACCCCAAGTAAGTATACTCCCTAACCTCCTCGATCTCTTTTCCCTCCCATCTTCCACCCTTACAAAACTTCATCATCCTTGTCTTCCCCACATTCACTTCCAGCCCCTTCCCCCTAAAATATCTTTCCAATGTCTTTATCATATCCTTCATCTCCGCCGCTTCTCTCGCCATGACCACGATGTCATCCGCGTATGCTAACATATGCACTTTTCTACCTCCCACCACCAACCCTCCCATTTGCCCCTTCCCCAATCTATCCTCAAGGTCCGCCGTACACAGTGCAAACAGACTTGGGCTCAGCGGACATCCCTGCCTCAGTCTCTTCGTCGTCCAGAACACGTCGCTCAGCTTATCTCCCACTTTTATCCTAGCCATAGTCTCCATGTATATTTCCTTCACTCTCGCAATTAGGTGTTCCGTGATCCCCCTCCTCCCACAACTTTCCCCTATCCACCTTATCAAAAGCCGCCTTCAAATCTATAAACAGGGCGTACAATTTGACCAGATGATTCAACACGTACACGTTGTCGATTGCTCCCCTTCCCTTCCGAAAGCCTGCCTACCCATCCGGCAAAATTCCCCCCAACTCCATCTCCTCCTCCAGTCTTCCCAGCGATATCTTCGTGAATACCTTGTATGCCGAGTCTAGTAGGTTAATTCTCCTGTAGCTCTCTACCCTTCCCTTATTACCCTTTTTATATACTGGGCAAATTACCCCCACTTTCCATCCCTTCGGAATCCCACCCCCTATCCATACGCTATTCATCCCCTTCAACAACTTCACTCTCACCACCCTTGATGCTTCCAACTATGCCTCGTTCTGGATCCCATCTTCCCCTGGCGCCTTTCCCTTCTTTAATCCCCTAAGCACTGCTTCCATCTCCTCTTCTGCTATCTCCTCTCCCCCATCTCCCTCATAGCCTCCCAAACCCGTTAGCCTTGTTTCAACTCCTCCCAATAATACCATAAAGTAACTCTTCCATTCTGTCATGTGTATTTCGCTGGTTATCCTCTCCCTACCCTTCTTTCTCTTTTTCAGATACCTCCAGACCTCCCCTCCCTTGTTATCCCTCTAATCTCTACCGCCTCCTTCTTCCTCAGTTCTGTTTTCTTTCTACTGCATAACTCTCTGTATCCTCTCCTGGCCTCCCTATATCTATCCACCCCTATCTTCCCCGTTTCCACTGCCTCTTGCGTCTTCTTGCACTCGCCATCATACCAGTCGTTCCTCCCTACTCTGCTCCCCCTACGTACACACTCCCTTTTTAGTGTTGCCTCCCGCACTACCTGGATAAGTTCTTCCAAAGCATTGATCTCTTGTATCTTCTGTTGCCAAGTGTCGAGGTGTCCCCTGTAGAATGCTACCCCTTCTTCCGACCAGTCTGTTCTGATGAACTTGCTCCCCAGTTCCGCTCGTCTTCTGCCGTCCACCCCCTTTACCTCCACCTCCAACGGTTGGTGATCCGACTCTACCGCTTCTCCCACTTTAAACCTTTCCACCCTCTCCCACATTTCCTGATCCACCAGTACATAATCAATCATAGATGTCCCCCTCGCCCCGATGTAAGTATACTTCCCTTCCTCTCCTTCCTCTTTATTCTCATTCAGTATCTCCCATCCGTTCTCCTTCACCCATCTCAGCATTTCTGTTCCTTCTCCATTCCGCACAGTATCCTTCGACCGCCGTCGTCCCTCCTCTCCCCATATCTCCACCCTTCCCCCCTCCTAGCCCACTGTAGCATTCAAATCCCCTCCCATTATTATATATCCCTCCGTCCCATCCCCTGCCATCTCATCCCATTGCTTTCTCGTCTCTTTCATTGACTTGCTATACACAGTAACTATCTGCACCGTCTCTCTCCCCCAGCTGATCTGCCTTTTTACCATTCCCTTCTGCCTCCATCTCCCCTGCGTAATTCCTCTCGCTATTCCTGTTATAATACCCCACACGCTCTTTCTCTCTTACTTCTCCTCTCTGCAAACACGCAATTCCATCTGTACCCTTCTGGCAACTTTCCCTCAATCTTAGCCCACCCTCCTTCATCAACCCAGGTCTCCACCATACAAATCACCTCAAATCTCTTCAGATATTCCCAGAACTGCCCTCCCTTATTCATAATCCCCGCTACATTCCAGAACACCATTTTCAACCCCTCGTTTTTCTCTGGCTTCTCCCCTCCCCCGTCTAGTTTTTTGATAAAATCCCTTGCTGCCCTCTCTTATATCTGGTTAATTAACACAGTGTATAATATCTGAGCAAGTGGTTTCTGCATTCAATTTTATGAACTGGTCGGTTTCCATAAGTCCTGGCTTCCACTAATTTTTTCATGATGCTGAAAAACTTGCATGCATCTCCACACTTTTTTTTAAACATTCCACAATAATATCGGCTTCCATGCTTGATGTACTGGTCCAGTTCTTAAATTATTTTTCATCCAACATTTTGCGAAATTAAAACGACATCTATAAATGGTAAACTCTACTGAGAATTTGTAGATAATTTAAGTTTCTTGAATTGATTATCAGTTAACCTTCGAGAAGCTAATAAAATAAATAGATGTGTGACGTCAACAAGAACATTCGATTAGAAGAAGGATGACACACGCCCATACATGGTTTTAAATTGTATAAATTGCTCATCGGCGATAACATAACCTTTAACATAAACTGTGTCATCTACAAAAACCTCCATGTAATTACTTAAAAATTTTAAAAAACAAATATCATCATGCTCACCAAGTTTACTCAGGTACCTAGCATAATTATTTTTTTTAATATACATTAATATTTATGTTTTATTTAGGGCGCGACCCTTTACACGGTTTTAGCGACGGTTTTTATCGTCGTGGTGTCTTATTTTTGGGTTAATCGCAAGAAGAAAGTTGCTAAACCTTTGGATATTCATGTAAGTGAAGTAATTTATTTGCAAAGTTTGATTCAAACGAATTTATTTTTTAGCTCCTAAACAAACGCATTTTAGAGTATAAACCTGAACCGATGATTGATCATAATCTTGTAGAGGCGTTGAGAAATAAAGTTATTGATACACACATTCCTGATGAGGTGAAATAAATTTGAAAGTGTTAAATTGTTTATGCAAAAATTTTTTTTAGAGTAATCCAAACTGTTTTAATTTGGCTAAAGTAAATTATTTGGATTTTTTAAATAATGATTATATTAAAAAGAAAGCAGAGGAATGTATTAGGACTTATGGGGTTGGGTCTTGTGGTCCTCGAGGATTTTATGGCACAATAGGTGGTTTTATTATTAATTTTATTGAAACATCTTACTAAGTAATTTTTTTTAGATGTTCACCTTGACTTGGAGAGCAAAATTGCTGATTTTATGGGAATGGAAGAAACTGTTCTTTATTCTTATGGCTTCTCAACAATCTCAAGTGCGGTTGGGGCTTATTGCAAAAAATCAGATATAGTTTTTTGGTACCAAGACAAAAAATCAAAATTTAAAAATAATTAAATTGATTGAATTATTTTAGTGATGAGCACATCTCGTTTGCATCCCAACAAGGATTATTAGCTGCAAAATCAACCATTGTCTACTTTAAGCATAATGATATGGCTGATTTGGAAGAAAAATTAAAAGAATATGAAGTGAAGGAGAAGAAAAGGGTAATTTTTACCTAAATTAATTTATTAATAATAAGAAAACGCTTTAAGAAGCTTCTTTCCTGCTTTATTTATAAATGTCCTTGGTACCAGTTTCGACTTTTTTTTTTTTAAACTATGTCTAATGTATAAAAAATTACTTACAGTTAAATCTTTCTTTCCAAAAATTAACATAAATCAACATTCTTTTGAATTATTAAAATTGCAAAATTATAAAAAATGGTCGATTATTTCAAAAATTTATTTCTCAAGAACTAAAAGCGATTTTTCAAAACGGCTTTTTGCATTAAAAAGAGGATACTTTAATTAATAATTGGTGATATTTCCACAAGGATCCTTCAAGAAATTAATTTTATAGCGAATTTTGAAAATT